TATTGGCTTGCAACAGGTGCTTGTTACCGCACAATAACCAACCTCCTTGACATAGCCAAGTCCACAGTGTGATAACATGTAGGTCGAATGAATGCGCTTTGGCCGTTCACACTGAAGTTACATGTCAAAAGATCAGATATGTATCAGTTTCAGGAGCACATATCCAAGTGTCCTGGGTCACATTTGAAAAAATCGGATCTGTGTGGTTCAAACTGTCATTAAAAGATCAGATACAGGAACATAGGGGCCAAAAAATCAGATTTGGGTCACTTCGGGCTGCGGTGTGAACGTAGCCAAAGAGACATGGACTGAGGCTTTACAATAGATTGACTTCAGTTTGACAGAGGGAAGAGTTTCTGAAGTGGGGAGAGGTGCAGATCAGAGGCTGGTTTGGGTAAGAGATTTATTTTAACTCTGTAACTGTAATTGTCAGTGCTGCCTGTGACTTCACTGGATTTTTAAATGTCTCATATTTAACACAAAATCCCTGTATATTTAGGCTGAGTTCTTCTCTCACATTGAAGACATTCTTTTCCACTTTGTGATGTCATGTGGTAATACAGGAAGTGCTCCATTGTGCTCAGGACTTTCCAATCTCTGCTGACCTTTAAAAAGTGATAATAAACAAGTTCAGTGGATTTAAGGACAGCCGATGGTCCACAACCTAAACACTGACTGATCTGAATGAGGAAGTAACACAACACTGAAAATAAGGAATGCTCTTTGGCCATTTTTATTGATTTACAAAAAGCATGTGACACAATAATAGATTACAATATTATATTTCCTAAAAAAGCTGAAAATTCAAGAAACATAAATGTCCAAATCAACAAAAAAAATGAAGGAACAGAACGAGGAGACAAATGCAGCTGGAAAAAACATATCTGGAAACCTCAGCGTCAGATTAAACTTGGCAAAAATGAATTAATGAAGAAAGTGAAGTGCTTTATATTAAAAACATTGTACTCTCTGCACACTGCTGTTGTATTACCACAGATTACTTACTGTGTCAAAGTTTGGGGAAATACACATCAGCACTCTCCATACTCCAGACAAAAAAAACGTAAGAATTGTACATAAAACAGTTTTATGACCACACACACATTCTTTGTGTGAGTTCGCATACATGAGGATCTAATACAATTCAAAACCCAACAGATAATGTGGGTCAGGCCATTTGAAATCAGCCATTTTCAAGGAATCATGAAATTTCTTTATTGCTTTGAGATAACAAATTATCTTCCTCAAATAAAAATAGAATAAATAATTCAAACAAACCCTTTTTCATAATTGTGTACAGAGTTAATAGTTGAATTTTCTCAAAGGATTAATGACACTTTTCCAAACAATTTACCACAAACAATCTCCCATTGTCTTCCCTTATAACAAGCAAACAGTGTTTAAGTCTATTAAAGGTAACTGAACTTTTCTGCAGGTGGAAAAGTCCCTAAACTCCACCAAAAATGACCCATGAGACTCATTTTCAAAAACTCTGTTTGAAATGAAGAAAGTTAATAATTGATGTTTTTATTACTTTAAACTAATCAGAATAAAGTTTCTCTAATAAAAATTTGATCAACATCTAACTGTGCCACATGGGGAACCAAGCGTCCAAAGAAGGGGCCAAAAAGATCACATTTGGTCTGTGACCATATTTGTGTCTCTACACATCCACATGAAAGCTCAGAAAAGTGTGAGAATGTTGTCAGAAATGGTCATTCTCTCAAATATTCAGGTTCAGCAGTTAGTTTGTAAATATCTGCTTGGAGTAAATAGATCTTGGACCTTAAATACGTATTGAAAAAATAAAGAAATAAAAAAATTTAGCTGCAACCAAATGTGAGATTTTGGGGGCCCACAGCGCCCCCCCCTTAATAAAGACACACAATATTTGACAACAGATTCAGAATCTATGACCAAGAATCTACAATAATCATTTTTTCTGTTTCCTAGCTCTATTTTCTATGAAGTTCTGGTCTCTCAAACATGCTTATAAATTAAGGTGTCAGAAAAAGTGAACCTGGCCCCAAAATTTCAATGGGCCATAACTGAGGAACGACTCAAGGGACTGAGCAAAATTTTGAGATTCTTTTATTTTGTGATTTTAGAAATTTTTTGAAACATTTCAGTCAAATCTGAGATGGCTCATTGGGGAGGGCGGCTGATTTCATGTGGACTGACCCATGTATAAATCCAGACACATCCAGCTGCCAGCAAATATCCAAACAATGTTTAGCAATAGATGGAATGTTTATGGATATTGGATATAATCAACATGGAAAAAATAATTTCACACATCACTCTAAAAAAAAATGCACATTATTACCAATAGTAAGTACTAATGTCCAAATGTCACTGGCTGTCACTTTTTAGTCTGTTATGTGAGAGGGGAGGTATTTATGTTTTTGTCTTCTTCCTCCTCTTGGCTATCATCTCTGTTGATATGATTCACTTTGTTCTGTAACTTACAGAAAAGAGAACAAAATTGAGTTATTCAAATGAAATAAAAGACTAATATTTAAAGGTGCATTATGCAGTTTTTCATGTATGGGTCTTAAGTCTCCATGGAGATGTTACTGCTTTGAACAGAATCTTCCACAGTTATTGAACCTTCAGGATTTCAGTGTCCACAAGTGGCGTCAGTAAACAATACACCATACTGTTAGATTGTTTTTTAGTTATCTTTGTCCTGTGCTGTAACAAACATTCCACATCTGTCAGTGTCATTACAACAAATGAAATTCACCAGAGAAATATGTTAAACAGAATTTTCAGTTTAGAGTGGTATTACCCCAACATTTCTAAAATATAATAAAGCTGCAACATTTCAAAATACCATTAATAATAATTATTATTATTATTTCACATTTTCCCAATAATTGCCAGTTCAGATAGTAAAGTCCTTGCTTGTAGCGCTGTGGCTTATGGACAACTCTACTATTACCGGTTGTAGTTGGCACGTCACTGGCTGAGGCTGTAGCGGGTCTGTTCGGGGGTCTTGTGGATCAGTAGGACATGTTTATGGTTCTCCATGAGCATGACTGTGGTGTCTACGGTTCCTCCTGAGAACTGCACCTGATTCCATCCCAAACTCCTAAGATCTAGAGTCAGTGGGTTTTTCACTTAACATAAAATCTAAAACTAGTATCGAAACTAGATGCTCATGTTTCCCAGGAATCGATACTAAAACCGTCCCACTGACAGGACAGAAATGAACCTTTCCTGAGTCTGAAATGAAGTTTGAAACTCTACAGTATTGTGATACTGGTAGGTAGGCACTTTGACAGACAACAGAAAACAAACACGTTTCATCTCAAGAAATTATAATGTGAACACAATGACTATATATACTACTACAAATATGTGCCAAACATATATAGAGATATGCATATATATATATATATATATATATATATATATATATATATATATATATATATATATATATATATATAGATATACACATATAGAGATACATATATAGGGACACATATATAGAGATATACATATATAGAGTGCTAAACCATTCATAAAAATCAATAAGATAAGAAGAAAAAAGCAAGATTTGAGTTCGAAGTGCATCCTTTAAATTTGTCCTAGAGCATTTACATCTGAGAGAAGACTCAAACCTGAACTTCAAACTAATACAAGAGTCTCATGCATTTCAGCATGTTTGTAGTGGTCTAAAGCAGGGGTGGGCAAACTTTTTGGCTCGGGGGCCACAAAGGGTTCTAAAATTTGACGGATGGGCCGGACAGGAGCAGATGGATGGCGTGGAGAGAAAAAAAATAACATGGGATATTTAAAAAAACTGTGCTTGAATTTCAATTGAAAGTCATTACAAAGCATCACAACAAAATATCTGTCTTTCTAAAACACTGAAAATTTAATTAATGAAATACTTTTTTTTTTTTTTTTTTAATTACTAACAGTTTCTATAGATACATCAAGAATCTCGGACTTCTGGTCATTGTGCATTGCATACTGGGAAGGATTCTTCGAAAAAGTGAGCATCAAACCTCCATGTTTGTTTTCCCAGTGGGATGTGTCTATTAACAAAGTTGATCTTTTCAAGTCTTTTGAAACATATCACTTTTGTTTCTGGTTCTGATGTTGTCATATTTTAGTTTTGGGATTCGGACATTGTAATTGTGTGGTTGTTGGATCTTAACAGTGGAAAATAGCAATGGAAATGTGTTTACAAACTCCATAAATGCAAAAGTGAATCAGATGTGTGTGACTCAAACCTCTGTTCAAACTGTTTCTCTTCCCAGCGGAATTGAAAAATAGTGAAAGGTGAAGGTGATGGGCAGGATTGATCCACGGGAAGAACCAAAATGGAAACCTTTGACTGTCTAAAACATCCTGAGTTTGCAGAGAACATTTGTATTGCGCCATCAAAGCAAAATCCCGTTTGTTAAGTGAGAGGTGCAGAAGACAAACAGACTGAGCTGCACTTTCTTGTTCTTGTGGTTTCACAGCAACATTAAGTCTTGGTCTCTTTGCAGTGGAAGGTGTTTCTTGGTGAACAGTTGGTGCCTTTCACTTTGGTGTTGACTTTTTAAATTCGTAACTGAGGCTGAGTGAGGGATCGGGGTTTTGCTTTGTTGTCGCTCCACATACAAATGTTCTCTGCAAACTCGGGATGATTTAGACAGTCAAAGTTTTCCTTTTTGGTTCTTCCTGTGGATCAATCCTGCCCATCACCTTCACCTTTCACTATTTTTCAGTTCTGTTGGGAAGAGAAACAGTTTGAACAGAGGTTTGCAGTCACACACATCTGATTCCTCTTTTGCATTTATGGAGTTCGCAAACACATTTCTCGAGCTGTTTTCCGCTGTTAGAAATCCAACAACCACACAATTACGATGTCTGAATCCCAAAACTAAAATATGACTATATCAGAACCAGAAACAAAAGTGATATGGTTTCAAAAGACTTGAAAAGATCAACTTTGTCAATAGACACATCCCACTGGGAAAACAAAAATGGAGGTTTGATGCTCACTTTTTCGGAGAATCCTTCCCAGTATGAATTGCGCAATGACCAGAAGTCTGAGATTCTTGATGTGTCTATTTTAAAGCGCTGAAAGTTCTGTTCTCCTTCAGGATATTATCATCATCAGTCTCCCCCTGACTGTCTTTATTTCAGAAATGTTAGGAGAGGCAGATCTACTTCTGTTCAGTGTGCGTCCCCAGAGCCAAAACTCAACAACGACCAACACGAGGACGGAACAGTGCCAGCGTGCCAGTCTGCGAGCAACATGTTATATTTGATCTGGCGCGCATTGTTTATAATGACTTTTACACAGAATGAAATGCCGTGGAGACACAGGGAGGGCATCTGACTTGGCCTGTCACAATAACAAATACTGAAGCATGGTATATTGCTATTTTATAGACAGACAGATTATACTTTATTATCCCGAAGGACATTTTCTTTCAGGCAGCAACAATACATACAGGCACTTATTTTTTTTTTTTTACTTTTCATATTACAACACAAATAACTCTCTCAAACCTCCTCATTATTGCATAGAAATTGAACCCACGATAAATACTGAGCCCCAAAATCTATTGTTCAGTTTTCACATTGAGTCGATATTGGAATCATTGTGACAGGCCTACGTCTGACACACACAAGGGGCTATGACACACAAGGACATTTCAGAATGTGTTTGTAGACGTCTACATTACAGGGTTATCAGCTTTTAAACAGAATAAGACCTAGGTAAGATCTTAAGACCGAGCCCAAGCCCGACCCGACCGGTCTAAAAATGTCAATCATTACTTTGGGTCGGGTCGGGCTTCAAATAAATATATGTTTATAAAATGTATGCTAAAACGATGTGTGGATACTAAACTAAGGAATACTTGTTATAAAATAAATAATATGGATAAAACAGAGAAGTAATGTAATGTAATTGCTATTTAACTACTAAACAGGATCCGCAGAGCCAGAGCTCTGCGCACGTGAACGCCCCCTCTTCATTTAATAATCTTCCCCTCCGCAAGTCTGCATCTATTTTGACCTGGTATCCCCAATATGGAGGAGCAAGAAGTTAAACTAAAGGCAGGAGAACTGAAAAGACAAACACGCACCGGTAAGAGTGAGGTGTGGAAAAGCTTCAAATTGATTGTTGAAAATGCTACAGAAACTTGCGTTGGCTTCGCTGAATGTCGTCAATGTGGCGCTTTGCTTTCATACGAGAGCAAAAAGACTGGCACCTCGACGCTGAGCACTGCTCCTCCTCCCGAGTCCTCACAAATAAAATATGACATTTCGGGTTTGCTTCGGGCTCGGGCCTGCAAATCAAGTTAATTGGTCGGGCTCGGGCCGGGTCGGGTTTTAATACCCGCGGGCCGGGTCGGGTTGGGCTGGATTTTTTAGGCCCGATCTCACCTCTAATAAGACCCCATGGAGCTACTTAGACGCCATATCTCTGGAAGATTTCTTTCAAATGTGGGTTGAGACTTAAAATTTGTACAAACTCTCGTGACAAAAGCCCATTTGTTCTCATATTGTGCACAAATGATGAGAATATGTCCAGGACTGGAAGGGCGTACTCTATGATGCTGCAGGTCTTTCCTTTGAAATCATAGGTGAAGCCTGAGGTGTGTAAGCCCACCAGTCTACACTGGTCATCGAACAGAGGGGAGCCGGACGAGCCGTGGTACATGTTGGTCGTGGTGTAGGTTATCACACTGTCTAAAGTCCATATGCTTTCAATGTTTTGCTCTCGTGCTCTTCTAACAATGACCATTCTGTCTATGTTATCATACGGCTCTAGGTGTTCATTTGCAGCGTCTTGTCTTTCGTTCATCACAATGATAGATGTAAGATCTATTTTTTTCACCTGACCACCAGGATGACCCATGACACAGGCTCCTCCATCATCTGGTTTGGGCCCAGAATGAGGCAGGAGTCCTGGAGGGACTGGTTTGTGCTCTGGATTATAAAGATACAGAATGGCATAATCCATTTCCTTGTTCAAGTCTATAACTTCACTGTGAACGTCAAAGATCAGCAGTGAATCATTTTCCACAAGTGGATTTTCATAGTTGAACACAGCCTGCACTCGTTCGTTCAGGGTTCGGCCGTCTTCGGAAAGGGCTTTGCAGAACAAATGTGCATTAGTGAGGATGAGGTTTTCAAAAAGCACAAACCCTGAGCCCTGGCATATGTTCCCGATATACAGAACACACACTGATTCACCCAAATGAATCAGCTTCCTCAAACGGAACACTTCACTAAATGTCTGCTGGACTTTCTTAAAGTTCACTTTCTTCAGGGCGTTCTGAAATAAATCATCTGGAAATCGATTGTTCAAGAACTTCCTGAGCTCTGGACACTGGTGAAAAACCACATTATGGATATTCTCGCGATACTGAACTGGAGTCTGCAGCAGCACGGACCGCACACTAACCGCTTTAGTTTTTGGTATCACACCACCGGGCCCGGCCTCCACACGCACTGGCTCGGAGCTGCCTGGACGCTCTCTTGACTCTCTTCTGGTCTGTGTTGTTTCTGTTGTGGTCCTTGTCGGTTCTGTTGTGGTCCTTGTCGGTTCTGTTTGTCCTTGTCGGTCTGTTGGTCCTGTCGGTTCTGTTGTGGTCTTGTTGGTTGTGGTCCTTGTCGGTTCTGTTGTGGTCCTTGTCGGTTCTGTTGTGGTCCTTGTCGGCTCTGTTCTGGTCCTTGTCGGTTCTGTTGTGGTCCTTGTCGGTTTGTTGTGGTCCTTGTTGGTTTTGTTGTGGTCCTTGTTGGCTCTGTTCTGGTCCATGTTGGTTCTCTTCTAGTGCTTGGTGTTGGTTGAATGCGGGTGGAGTGCAGATTGTTTTTTAGCTCATTCCAGTCGTCCAGAGTCGAGAAAACTGGAGAGTGATCATTTAGTGTGTGACCACCTAGAGTGTGACCACCCAGAGTGTGACCTCTGTCAGTCTCCTGTCATGAAAAAGAGAAAGTCACATTGAGAACCAGAAAAGAGAAAACAAAAACTACAACTCAAAAAGCCGCACCTTTGACGATTTCCAAGAGTTAGGATCAATCTCCTCCACGACTGTTCTCTGTAAAATATGTTTTATGAGAGAAATATGACAAGAGCCATGTTAAGTCAAGTATCTGTGACAGGTTAGAACACCCACTGAAACTAAAACACAGCAAAGATCATTATACCTAAGATTTTACTAAACATTTTGCAATTTTTCCCGCAGTTTTTTTTTTTTTTTTAAGGACGGGGTGGATGGTGACAGTTCAACTCTGTTATCTCCTCAAATTAAGTCAAAAGTAGAGCATGTTAAACTGATTGAATAAACTAGCATCCTGAACATGTTAGAGAAATGTAGAATAGACGCATCAAGAATCTCGTACTTCCGGTCATTGCGCAATTCATACTGGGAAGGATTCCCCGAAAAAGTGAGCATCAAACCGCCATGTTTGTTTTCCCAGTGGGATGCGTCTATTAACAAAGTTGATCTTTTCAAGTCTTTTGAACCATATCACTTTTGTTTCTGGTTCTGATATTGTCATATTTTAGTTTTGGGATTCGGACATTTTAATTGTGTGGTTGTACAGTGGAAAACGGCTCGAGAAATGTGTTTACAAACTCCATAGATGCAAAAGTGAATCAGATGTGTGTGATTCAAACCTCTGTTCAAACTGTTTCTCTTCCCAACGGAATTGAAAAATAGTGAAAGGTGAAGGTGATGGGCAGGATTGATCCACAGGAAGAACCAAAAAGGAAACATTTGACTGTCTAAATCATCCCGAGTTTGAAGAGAACATTTTGTATGTGGAGCGACAACAAAGCAAAACTCCAACCTCTCCCTCAACCGCGGTTATGAATTTAAAAAGTCAACGCTAAAGCAAAAGGCACCAACTGTTCACCAAGAAACACCTTCCACTGCAAAGAGACCAAGACTTAATGCTGCTGTAAAACCACAAGAACAAGAAAGTGCAGCTCAGTCTGTTTGTCTTCTGCTCCTCTCACTTAACAAACGGGATCCCGCTTTGATGGCGCAATACAAATGTTCGCTGCAAACTCAGGATGATTTAGTCAGTCAAATGTTTCCTTTTTGGTTCTTCCTGTGGATCAATCCTGCCCATCACCTTCACCTTTCACTATTTTTCAAATCTGTTGGGAAGAGAAACAGTTTGAACAGAGGTTTACAGTCACACACATGTCTGATTCACTTTTGCATTTATGGAGTTCACAAACACATTTCTCCAGTTGTTTTCCGCTGTTAGGATCCAACAACCACACAATTACAAGGTCCGAATCCCAAAACTAAAATATGACAATATAAGAGGGCCCGGTCAAGCAGAAGTAAACATCAAGGCCAAAAATTCAAGTTAATGCATCTGATATAAAAATGTATTGAACAGATACATATGTACTCTAGTTTATGAAACTGTTGACCTTTTTTCTGTTCCATTTTTGGTTCTAAAGTTCCATATGTTTTAAACAGACCATGTATGAAACATGGAACAAAAAATATTTCCCAAATTTCAAAGACCTGCAAATCCTGTCAATAAATGGATGTATTTCATCATATCTTGTGTTATTCCATCTTTGAACTGTTGATGAAGGGTACATGATTAAAAAAAAAAAAAAAGTATTTAAAATGATAAAAATTTGCTTGGAAGGACTGACATATTTTATAGAAATAGTTTCCTTTAATTTTGAAGTAATATTAATGTATTCGGAAGAAAAAAGCGACAAATTGTGTAAAATCATGCACCTTCTACTTGTTTGTACAATTTTCCCTCTGTTAATTTTCCCTCCGTTACCGACATGAGCTTTTAAAATTTTTGTCAACAACTTGAAAGAATATCACAGGTTTAACTTGACCCTGTTGGAGTGTAACTCTTTCCTACATTCTGATACTTTACTTATTTCAATAGTCCCTCTATTTTCTGAATAAGAGACATTTGAATGTCAAAAATCTGCCCCTGTTTCCCTCCATTACCACTTGACTGGACCCAAGAACCAGAAACAAAAGTGATATGGTTCAAAAGACTTGAAAAGATCGATTTTGTCAATAGATGCATCCCACTGGGAAAACAAACATGGCGGTTTGATGCTCACTTTTTTGGAGAATCCTTCCCACTATGAACTGCGCAATGACCGGAAGTCTGAGATTCTTGATGTATCTATATATCTTGTTTATGTTCAGGAAATTAATACAGAGCTCTAAGTTTGTACTTAATGGGCCCATATTACGCTGTTTTCTCTGTTATAATGTTGTTACCGCATCAAAAAACCTGGAGCTGTGTTTTGTTTTATTCACATATGTTTATCACATATATCTGGCATATTTAGGCTGAGTGTCAAACAGAAAACACTCTGTTCCACCTTGTGATGTCATGTGGTAATACAGGAAGGGCTCCACTGTGGTAAAAGGAGCTGTTAACTTAAAAACGACCACTTCATGACATCACAGGTGGAACAGAGCATTTTGAGCTTTGGAAATGTAGACAGACTAAAAATAAAGTGTTACTCAAAAATGTGTGAAGGAAACAAAACACAACTCCAGGTAACAACATTAGAACATGGTTGGAAGCTTACAGAAGTCAATTTTGCGTAATATATGTAAAAAATAAGTAAAAATATTAGTTATGAGTTTGTAGTCACTTTAACACATTTTAGCAACATTTTACATGAGTTGTTAAATACCAAACTTAATAGTATTTAAGTTTAAACTGTATTAAAGTAGACAATTTAATTCTGTCAGCTGAACAAAAGGTATTTTTTGACTGAATACATTTCGCAGCTCATCCAAGCTGCTTCTTCAGGTCTGGTCAGGACTGGTGGACAGTGCCTTATATCTGAAGGGAGGAGCTAACTACACTGAAAATATGATGTTTGTGTAATCCATCTGTCATCCAGGTAGAATCCATTGCAAAGGAAAATTTTATTCTGTCAATATGTTTCTCAGCTCATCTAAGCTGCTGCTCAGACTGCTGCTGATGCCACGTTACATCTGGCTGAAGGGAGGAACTGGGGAATGTCCAGCTGCAGATGGGAAATCGCAGAATGAACAACAGAGAAAGTCATGCTGTCGTCAGAAAGATGAGGCCCCATTTCTGAGATTCTGGAGTGCAGTTCTAAAGTGTCGTGCCAGAAAAGCATATCTGACAAGGGCATTTGTTTTAACTAGTCACTTGTATAAAAGTCACCTGTCCACAGAATCACTCAATCAGACTCCAAACTGTCCAACAAAGACCAAAGAGCTGTCAAAGGACGTCAGGGACAAAACTGTAGACCTTGTTGTCATTAAGATTCTCGACCTGCACATGTGCAAAGATGATCCTTCAGTGCTTGAAGCACCGCCTCTGAAGAAGCAGTTTGGATGAGCTGCTTCTTCAGTTCTGATGAGCAAAATGTATTTGATTAAAAAACAAACAAACAAACAAAAATGTTGTCCAGCTGACAGAATTTAATTTTCTCCTTTGCTGTGGATCCTACCTGGATGACTGAGAGATTTCACTAGGTGGTGCTTCTATGCACCATGCATTTTACTCACCGATCGAGAGGAGGCCATGGTACAGGTTCAAGGAGATTCTCCTAAACACAAGTGAATAAGAAGAACTTAGTACTAAGAAGTAACTATTGAACAGATTCATGAGTTCATACAGTGGGACAATGGTGTGTATTAATACTTTGCAAATTGTATCATCAACATTTCCTGGGGGTGTGAAGACACTTTTCTGAGCTTTATTTTAACATTATCTGACAAGAAAGATTTTATTGAGCTGGAAATGCAACAGGTGAGAAGATTTGTGCTGTTAAAACAAATAACATTCCAGTCACAAGTGAGCTAGCATTTAGTGATCACTGACTGAAACCAAGACCAGTCCGACACCACAGGGTCCCGGGACCAGGACAAGATCAAGACCTCTGAGAGTCAAGACCGAGACAAAACCAAGACTTTTAAAGACCAAGACCGAGACCACGGCCCATCGAGACCAAATCAAGACCACCTTTGTCTTTTTCTACATTTTTGCACATATACATCAATGTTTGTATAAATCTATCCCCATTTGATCTGATTGATTTTCACTTAGCCCTAAGATTAATCAAGCAAACTCTACTGCACTTAAACACTGTGTGCCTCTTTTTTTGGACCCTGACCCACAGTTTTAGAACCTTAATCCCACTTCCACTTTACAGAAAACAGCTTCAAAAGTAATCAAGTTAATCAAATTCCCTAACATTTACAGTGACATGGTTTTGCAGTGATATTTAGCAGCCTCTGCACATCTGCCACAGCATACGCACGTCATGACAAATAGGGCCCCAAAAACTCAGGGCCCCAAAAACACCCTATTTAAGAAAAAACTGTTGGCGAAATGATGTAACTGTAAATATGAAGGTACTGCAACTATTAATGGTCACATAACCCTAACATTTTGCATGGTGTATCCTAAGGGAAAGTAGCAGAAAAAATAAAAATAAAAAAATCTGGAGCTTGGAACGGCGCGTTAACGTGAGGCACAGGGACAGGCAGGATGGTTTAGAAAGTTTAACGTGCGCTGATACACAAGGAGACATGTTGAAATCCAATATGTTTCTCTTTTTTTTTTCTTTTCTTGAGTTTTCAGACAATCGTAAAGCAGCTCAGATCTCATCGTAGTAAAAGCAACCAAAACGTTCCTATTATTGTTCCATCTGATGTATTGAACGACAAATTATACATAAAAAGTTATTATCGTGGCAGACCTAAACTAAATATATTTTCAAAGTATTCTTCCCAACACTGCTGTTTTACCTGTCCAGATGTGAATTGTCTACGTTCTGTCGAAGTTTTTCAGTCCCAGATGTTCGAAGAGGAGCCCCGCACGAACATCTGCTCCGCTCTGATAAGAAGTTTCCGTAGAACACGGCGTGAAACAAACTGCTCTCTCCGTTAATGCGCTTTATTATCCGACTGAAATGGTCCAAAGTTTGTTTAAGTTTGGGCTATGGATCAGTAACGCATCTAGTCCACGGATCTATGGTTGTATGGTTATATCTATACCAGTTATAAACCAGTACAGGACGGATATGACCAGCTCCAGCCCGATCCGCTTTCTTTTGTGGGCGGGATTAAAGTTTGGAAAGAAAACAGCTAGTTTAAGCCTAACTGTAAAGGCCCACGGTACAAATGATCTGTTCCAGGAGGGGTACATGTACCAAAGTATTATATTATATGTAGCACAAATAGTATTGTTTTGAAGCCTTTTTCTTGATTGGGAAGTTTAAAAATGTTCATTTAGCAGGTTACTGCATGTAAATAGTATTGAAAAGTGGATTCCTCTAAAAAAAACAACAACAAATCATATATTTTAATATTAATGTAAAAATAAAAAATATATACATATATATATAAAAAAATAAAATTAAAAAAAAGGTGGGCGGGAGGTCTTCGTCTCGTTCACCCACCCCCCCCCCCCCCTCTCTTTTTTTTTTTTTTTTACGTCTCTGCCGTGTCTCGCTCCTATTACGTAACTAAATGTCCACACCTAATTTTACAACTCAAAGAACTAGACGTGTTCACACAAATCTAACTAAAGCACGTTTCATCTCTACGCCGCTATTACAACAAATACATTTTTTAAAAAGTGAAACAAACGTTCCGTTTAGTATACTGAGACCATACACGAATCAACGTGACTTCCCATGCAAAATACATCTCAATGAACTACACGCTGATTGGTTTAAAGACCTGTCAATTTTAAAGAAACCGTCTTTTTCCTGTCTCTAATTGGCTCGTATCTCCTGTCACTCAAAGTACACTGCAATGATTGGCGTGAATTACATGTAAACCCCACCATTTCACCGAAAACATTATTTCAGCCACGCTATTGGTTAAGATACACGTCAGTCAGAAATCCGTGATGGTGATTGGCTGAGTGTGGTAAGTGGGCGGTACGTACCCGGAATTTCCTGGTGTCTGTCATATGCGAAGAGAAACAGCACCGTCTGCGTTTGTTATTCAAATTTCTCCCCAGAGCATCGCACCGAACCGAGAAAGACATTTTATTTTGATGTTTTAGCTGAATTATAACCCAGACACATTCATGTTGAAGCTCGGGTTTATTTTGTCGCGTTTGTAGCCCGCTTAGTGGCAGAACATTGACAGTTTGCTCGCCTTCTCGTCACATTGCGCTTGGAAACATGAGTGCGGATCTATTGTCGGATTTGGACTCTCGTTTCTTCGCGGATAACCTCCTGACGAGCGAGGACTGGGGTGAGTTTGCTTCGGGACAATGGATCTGTTCAGGGACACAGTCAAATAAACCGATAGGAGTTATATTTGAGGTGCATTTTTAGCTTCACCTGCTAAAACACAACAGTCTCCCTCCCCCCGGTCGTGCCAAAGCGTTGGACGTGAATTGACCTAAAAACACAGCAGCAGAACGCACTGTTTAATGACCGGTTTGTGCACAAGAATATCCAATATGTTCTTGTATTTGACGCTCTGGTGGTTTATGGTGGGGCATGTGGTAGTAGTGTGGCAAGACTAACCTCGTTTAACCCGGATATCACAGTTAACGTTTAACACAGTGGAGCGTGACACTTTTACGCACAGCATGCACAAAATGGATCGTGTTTTGGAGAAGTTTAATAGCAGCAGTGCACAGGACAGCTCCAAAGCGACGGCAGTGATCTTTCTGTCATCTATTTAGAAGTGAATACTCTTGTAATTATTGAGTGGGAATTTGCAAATTAAACAGAGGTGGGTTGAGTTGCTTAAATGGCCCATTTCACGGTGTTTTCTGTTATAATATTGTTTCCTCATCTAAAATTCCATAGTCCACACACCTTCACTAGAATTATTTGCATAATTTCAGACCTGGAATTGCCAATCTCTACTTTAAAGTACAAGAGATACTTTTAACATTTTGTTAACTTGCATGCACACACTTCATGACATAAGATGCAACAGAGCATTTTGAGCTTTGGGGTTGTAGACAGACTAATACTAAAGTGTTGCTCAAACATGTGTGAATGACTCAAAACAAAACTTCAGGTCTATTTTTGAGGAGGTACGGTTTAAACGAGGTTAGAACAAGTCACAAACCTTCACGACCCAAGTCAATAGGCATTATTTGTAAATTTGTAAAAAATAAATATTGAACGTTAATGAGGATATTTTATTGTTGACTCTCTGAACAATTAGTATTACTCGAGGTTTAAACAATGAAAAACAGTCATTGAATCAGAAATAAAAGGATCCATAAGTCGCCTATTTGGACATTAAATGTAGAACATTTCTTTTTCTTTTCAACATTCAATTAAACCAGCAATATTGGAACAAAATAGTCAATAAAATAACAAAAAGATTAGAAATTATACAAACACGTCTTAACATTTCAACATTTCTAATGAGAGAGGTTTGCATGTCTGCGTTTTTGTAGCGTGTTTCAGTCCTCCTGCACAGAGGAGACACAGCAGCAGATCAGGAGCAGCATTCTTGTGCTTTGTCTTTATTTTTGTGAGCACAGAAAATCTCAGTTCACACAAATATGTAGTAGTGAAAGGAGTAAGCATAGAAATACTGGTCCTACTGAGGACAGGATATTCTGACGAAATGCTTGTCCAGACTGACGATAAGGTCACAAATCCATGTATACAACTGTGCATTGCAGATCTACATGCAGATCGTGACAAGGTGACACCAAAAAAATCTCTTGCGATCCGAGGGTCACGACCCAGTCTTTTGAAAACCATGTAATATAGGACCATTTCCTCGCAACTCTAGTCAAGACGTTTCTCAAATGGCAGCAGCCTAAACCAGTACTAAACTATTCTCTGTCTATGTATCCGAGTATATAGGTGACGTTATGTAAAACCGTGATGCAGCGGGGATCGTATGAAGGGCTATAGTTATGTCATTGTCGCTGTCGTCTTAAAGAAAGTGAAATCGGACTTACAAACCAGTTAAACAGGCTGCACAGAGCTGTCAGGGGGAATAGAAACCAGCTTCTGTCTAATTGTTTAAACCTCTGCTAATGTTACAGAGAATCTTGTGAACTCTGCTTCACACTGCACAGACACTTCAGCTGGACCACTGCACAGAGAACAATAATACAGAAAAAATGGTTTGATGGTTTGAGAGGGGCTAATCTGCAAAATGGACTTTCAATAAAACAACATATGAATAAAAACAGAATCTAATAAAATGTCAAAAACTTAAACTGTGTCAAAGGCCAAAGTGTACAAGTGCGTTTTAAGAAGAGATTTAAAAACGGGTACAGAAGGTTGGGAAGGTTGTCTAATGTGCAAAGGCAGCTCATTCTACAGTTTGGGTGCAGCCACCGCAACTAGAGATTCAGATCAGAACTGACACTATAACTAATATCAACTACATACTAATTTGAGCAGGTGTCGGTACTTAAAAAACCCTTTTCTGAATGTCGTTAGAATGATGTTGAGCTGTAGCAGAAGTAGTATAAGAGCACATAGACTAATATACACACGGAGCACTATGGAACCTACTGCACCACTGAGGATTACACACATACAAGACCACGTGGGAATAGAAAAGAAAATTCTACCATGTGGAAATAAATCACATTCTATTGTCTAGTAAAAGAGTGTTTTTTGTTTGTTTGTTTTCCCCCAGTCTATTCAAATTGAGTTTGAAATGTTAGTACCGTGGGCGACACCAGTTCTTGTTAATTTCAACAGAACTGTCTAAGTTTAAAGCAGGGAAGGATATTGTTGTTCAGGAATAAAAACAGACTGCCTAAACCACGTGGCTTTGTCTCTCAGGACTAAATTATCACAAGGGCAGAGGCGTGTGCTGCTACTAATGCTACCACTCCATTCCATTATTCACTCACTCGCTGCTATTTGGGTTTCTATTGTTTGTTTATTTATTTATATATATATATTTTAAGACTAAGATATTTTTGCACACCCCTACCCTGTTTTCAAATATAGTTTATTTTTAGTTCGTATTTCCTCTAAAAATGAAAACACCTGCTTCTCCAATGCAGATGATGGTAACACTGTTGAGTCCAAACACGACCGGTCTAATGTCAACATTCAAAATGGCCACTCTTAGCTTTGAGCACTGCTTTGGTCATTAATGGGCCCCTGACAAGAAGTCGTGTTGTCACTACACTGATTTTGATACTAATGTTGCCACGCTGATAAGAAACCCTCTTTCTTTAGACAATAGAATGTGATTTTAACATTTAATTGTAGTAGGGTCATTCCAGGCCATTTCAACAAATGGCCCACGTACTTCGATCGCAAAAAAATGTGAAAAACATTACTAAATAGTCCCTTACTATCATGTACTAATCCCTGTGAAGTTTTAGTGATTTTCGATCATTACTTTTTAAGTTACAGCCCATTTAATGAGGGTGGTTTTCATTACCCACATGTCATAAATGACATGTGAAAATCTGACCATGTTATGTTTTTTTGTTTTTAACAGGACCTTCACACATAACCTATTTCAAATTTTCAACATTTGGTGATTTTTTTTTTTTAACAGTCCTACTAGATTCCCAGTCCCTCTTGATTCTCCAAAAAAGGGTCTACTACACCTACAAATAGGTTTAAAAAGGGGCTAAAAATGGTACACCACAGAAATTTTTTTTTTTCATTTATAAGTTCATATAAAATGACAATGAGTTGAGATACCAAACTTTCAATAGATGTTATTTGAACACAGAGTAGAGGAGTACAAGTCTACAAAATTTCAGCCCTCTATTTGTGATACTTACGGAGATATCGACCTGTGAAAACGGCCGAGAAAAAATTGATGTGCATTTTGGGCCCGTAAATTGACGCATACTCCCCTCACTAAATGAGCTGCAAAACAAGTAATGATCGAAAATCACTAAAATTTCACAGGGTTGGTACATGATAGTAAGGGACCAGCTGGTAATTTTTTTCCAAATAAAAAAAAATCATGATACGTGAGATTTTCTGGAAGTTCAATGAAATGGCGTGGATTGAGCCAGTACTTTATTTTCTATTCCCATGTGTCTTTATGTGTGTGATCCCTCAGTAGTCCAGGTAGGTTCATAGTGGTCCATGGGCATGTACAAGTCTATGTGCTCTTGTACTTGTTCTGATACATTACACATTTCTGGTTTGCCTTTAGTATCTAAAATATAAAATAGCAAACGTGAAGTAAACAAACATAAACAGAGAATGCGAAAGTGTGTCTATACTTTTGACCGGCGTTGTGTATCTGTGTTGACATGTTGTTTCTGATGTAAATGTGATGTAAATGCTATTTCCTCTGTGTGTGGTGCAGATGCCTGTTTGTACCAGTTTGAGCACATGGAGGAGGGAGACGAGAGCCCGGCACTCCGATACGACACAGAGGTTTGTCCTTCACCGCAAAACACTCCAAACACCGAATATCTATCGCTGCGTGTACATGAGGTTTTACTCTGCGTGAAAGCTGCTGATGCTGTAGTTTACGAACGTATGTGTCAGATGCCCTCCCTGTGTCTCTATTTTCTGTAAAAGTCACATCTAAGGCTGCGTTCAGACTGCAGCCTGAAGTGACCCAAATCCGATTTTTTTGGCTTCTATGTGACCTGTATCTGATCTTTTAATGACAGTCTGAACCGACACAGATCCGATTTTTTCAAATGTGACCCAGGACACTTGGATATGTGCTCCTGAAACTGATACATATCTGATCTTTTGACATTTGACTTCAGTGTGAACATCAAAGCACATTCATTCACCTACACGTTATCAACAAGACACAAACGTCACTATTCTGCGCTGAAGTAGGCGAAAATTGTTAATGAACTCCGTGTCACTGAAGCGAAGCACATCACCACTCACCACTCTTGACTACGTCTCCACATCCACACGCTCCTTTCAACGGACGTCGCTGCCGCTGTCCCACAAAACGCCACGGCCAAAAACCTCGTCCTTCTCCTTCTCAATCTCCTCTTTAAAACAAGTAAGTTGTTCATGTTCTGGTTCCGGTACGAGAGGAATTTTTAAATCTCCAGGTGCTCAATGCTGCGTCCATGTTTGGACAACTTCTGTAAACACAGAGCACACTTGCAGACAGCGACCGCGCAGCGAAAAACACCCACAGACACACTCATCACTCCACGCCAATGAGGAATGGAACAAAGGAACGAACCGAAAAAGCGAGCGCAATGTGCTCCAGACACACCAACAATCCAGCGGTTCCAAACAGCACCCTCCCTACACGCCACAATTGACACATCCCAGAGTCACCGTGAACGCGCCAAACAATGGCCCCTGGGATTGCCAATCTTTACTGTACTAAAGGTAAACGGTAGCTGTTAACTTTCAAACTACCACTAAAGCTACGCCACATGACATCACAAGGTGGAACAGAGCATTTTACGCTTTGGAGATAGAGACAGATAAAAAAAAAGTTACTCAGACATGTGTAACAACATTGTACAGGGCAGCCGCGGGGTCTTAAAAGTCTTAAAAAGGTCTTAAATTTCATGTCCCTAAATTAAGGCCTTATTTTTTTCACAAAGGTCTTAAATTTCATTAGCCTATTTTTTTGTAAACTCAGCCGGGCTGCAGTGTGATATTAAATAGAGGAAAAAAACAACAATGTGAAATCACATAATGAGAATGAACATCTAATTTGAAAGATGCACAAACCATACTTAGTTTTTGGCCATATTACAAGCAATGCATATGACTATAAATGAGTTCTGAATGAGATTTTACAATAAAAGTATTTTTTGAGTATTTAAAAAGCACTGAGTAATGGTCATTAGAGACAGGCGTGCACCCTGATAGTGGTAGGAATAAACTTTTATTCATTTTGGCGATGTAGCGCGTTGAGCCGCATGTGTTGGACTTGGAATCGGACGAGGACTTTGAGGTGCACAAAACTCAAGCACCGCCTCCACATCAGCTGAACATTACTGATTGGTAAAGTATTAATAAACACTAGTAGATCAACTTATTATATCATGTAACTGCAGTGTAGAACAGTGAGCTTCTGCTGTCGCTTTTGTTTAGGTTCATGTGGGAATTATCAGCGCCTTCTGCTACGTCAAATGTGTCATAGGTGTATCTGCCGCGTCATCGTTGTAGCAGCTCTAGTTTGTTGTCACGTGGGAGGGTGGCAGAAATACACTGTAATTTGTTAAAAAAACGCCAAATCAATCTAAAAACCACTTCAGCGACAAATACAAGGCCCACACATCACTCTGAGAAGGTAGAAAGCTCTGAAAAGTTAATTTTGCATGAGATAGGTCCTTTAAATTTGGGATAGTTAAACCTGGGGATACCCTCATTATAGCTACAATGGACCTTTTGACCTGATTTTCTCATTCAGTTTGATAAAGCTGGAGGAGTGCTGATGTGCTAGAAATTACTGGATTTCCCTGTTGGTCATGGGGTCACGTTTCTTCTCGCAGTAATCGTAATAATCGCATGTCTAAAAGCTGATATCAGTTCATCTCTAGTGTGATCAGTGAACAGTGAAACGTAGAGGCGTGTGAGTTCTCTAAAATTCAAATGAGTCAGATTTCTGAGACACCGAGGCTCTGCTCTTTGTCTCTCTGTCCTTCTGTCACTGGTTTAAGAGTTTCACATCCACCATCTTTAGAACAGCTGAGAGTAGAGCCACGACTCTGTCTCATTCTGTGATTTTTATAAGAAATCTCCAAATGTCAAATTCACAAACATTTTCCCTGATCATTTTTATCAGTGACAAGCTCCGTTTTCCCGCTGCATTTCTCACCACAACGTCTGGGAGGGCATCTGACACACACAGGGATACAGGCGGACAGGAAGGCATCTGGCACCCGACTGTATTGAGTCTTATTGATGTTGAATTTCAATTTTTATATTTGTCAGTTTGAGCGTGACCTGGTGCTGACCCTTGACCCTGACAATCGCACGTCGCCATGGAGACACCTCGACGACAACCTCCTCACAGGTAAACAGCTGAGCACAGGTGCAGAGAACAGGATAAACTCTCACGCTTCACTTTAAAGGTCCACTGTGTACCTTTTCTCCTCGTCTCCATGGAGATGTCTTTGCTTTACCTGGAATGTTCCACAGTATGACATTACACTTCTCTAGGTCACATTTATTAAATTCCAGGTGTGTTTATTGTATACTTACTGTGAGTGGGCTCGCCTCTCCACAGATGTGATCTATAACGTGGTTTGGTAGCGTCACTTGCTTGTTTTCCTGGAGACTGTACTGTGGAACATTCCATGAAAAGCAAATGGTAGCATCTCCATGGACGCAAGTAATACGCTCCCCCAGAAAAGTTACATATTGTGGCTTTTTTTTGTAACTCCACTGTTTCTTTCTAATATGTCTGTCATGTTCACACATTACACGGCTCCGTCCCTCATCTCTTCTGTCGTTTTGGTGTTTCCAGGTGAAGCTCCGGTGATGAAGAGTCAGATGACCATCGCTCAGCCGCTGCCCGTCGACATGTGTACGGACATTTTGTTTACACGTGGATATACAGGGTGTTCCAAAAATTTGACATCATTTCGCAGGACAATAATTTTGGCAATTCTTGTTGAAAGAACCTCAAATCTTCACAGAATGTATAGAAACAGATTTATTTTTGTTCTGTTTTCAGGTTGAGCCGTTCACTCCCAAAGAGAAATCATTTTGCGTCTTGGAATCTGCTCGCACACTCTCACCCAAGACTGTGCAGCTTCAATGCAAAATTTGGCAAAACTTCAACAAATGACAAACAAATTTGGACTTGGTACTAGGGATGGGCACGATTAGTCGATTAATCGATAATTGATCATTAAGAATTTTGTCGATTACGTTCATTTTTAATCGACAAACCGACTGTAGGTTGCTGTGCGTAGCGTGAGGTGGCCAAACGTCTGTTTTTTCCCCGACCATGTCCGTTTTCCACGTCTTGTCCTGGCTGTTGGTGTCCAGTGGTGGTGCCAGGGACCTCAAAGCACCAGAACACCGAAAAACATTAAACATTTTTGCCAGGTGAGAGTAGCTCAATGTCAATGATGAAGCCCCACCTCCCGTACGGTGTCCTGGTTTTGACGAACGGAAATATGGTCACCCTAACCTATATTCCACTGAGTCGTGTCCTTTAGTCCGACAGAAGTTGAACCGCATCAGCGCACAAGAGCTGTTTTTTTTCTTGCTTAGTTTATGCAAATTAGCCATGCAGTTTTAAGTTTTGTTTCTGAAAGAGTTGCGCAAAACTGCATTAAACACATTATAATGTCAAACGGGCTGATGTGGCTCTAGAGTGGTTATGGTTTATATGTTGTAAAGTTGAATTTATTTGTGCAGTTTAGTAGTAATAATAATGATGATCATTTTAATATAAAAACATTAATGATTAATCGATAATCGATCGTTAATTCTCGTGACGATCTATTAATGAAATTTAATCGAATGCCCATCCCTTGGTACCAAAAATGTAAAGAGTTTGGCTGCTTATGTAGGGATAAAAGATGTGGTAGACCAACATCAGAAGAGAAGTGAAAAGGAGTAAACGGCAAGGATCAACCTGAAAACAGAACAAAAGTAAAACATTAAATATAAAATCTTGATCTGTTTCTATACATTCTGTGAAAATTTGAGGTTATTTCAACAAGCACTGCCAAAATTACTGGCCTGCAAAATGATGTCAAATGTTTTGGGACACCTTGTTTATCAGTGGATACAGCTAACCCACTACCCACCGCTTTGCAAATAGGAAGTGAGCATGATCGTGATCCAGCTCCATCGACTCACTTTCTATTGAAAAAAAGTCACATCCCTTTATAAGTGCTGCTGTCAGGCTCATCATTCTGACCTTAAAATGTTTGTTTAACCGCCCTATATGATGCTGGAGTTTATATTTAGCCATTTTGTCCCTAAATTATGATATGAGCATTAACAGACCAATGACGTACCCTTTTTCGCCGAGGTTTATTTGACTGGAGCAGGACACTATGGGTGACGCCGCGCTCCCTCAGTCCACTTCTGTTATACAGTCTATGCAATTGAAAGATTAACTCTGTGTTAAACCTGCTTAAATTAAACGTATAACTGTGAGTGCATTTATGTGTTGTTCTTTCTCAGTGTTTCAGATCAAAACAGAACCGCCCTCTCCCTCCTCCAGCCCTCAGTCCCAGTGTCCCTCACCGGATCCACAGGTCAGCTTCAGCATTACTCACTCAAGGGGTCAGCCCGCCGTGTTTGTCGTATCCTACAAAACAGGAATGCAAGATAAAACATATTTTAAACTAACCTTATAGATCTGTACAAACATGTTTTAAAATGTGAACTTTGAACAGAATATTATTATAAAAACAAATCTAATCTAATCTGATAATTGTCCCTCCATAGAGATGCATTAGGGTATCAGAAGTTATATTTTAGGCTCTTTAATGTCTGTGTGAACACTGCAGTAGTTACCTTCTTAAATTCTCCACAGGTTTAAGATTAGACTAAATGAGGACACACCCCTCCTCTGCCTCAGGGCTCTGCCAAAGTAACAAAGAAAAGAATGAAGCCAAAATATCATTTACCACCCACACCTGCTTTGTTCAACCAAAACAGAAATAAAGGACTGAACCATAGCTACATGGGATTTGTTACCAAAATCAACCTGTGTTCCCAGAGCGTTAACCTGCAGATAAGACAAGTTCAAGTGTGTCTCATTCTCAGTGTATGGATAAACTGCATCATGTGAAGCTCAGAACCTCCAAAATTCCCTCCCTGAGCTGCAAAGGCTGCATTAGCACTGATTCAGGATTGGTGCAGGTGCTGGGGTTTAGGTAGTGACCGTTCAGATCAGAGAGAGGCATTTTAGGACTGGATTTAAACACTAAAGCAAACCAAACGAGAAACTCATGTGAGACTCATTCTTCTTTCTGATTGGTCAATGATCTTGGCAACAAAAACACCAAATTATAATATACACAACTTTGCTATAATGTCCAATGTTTTTGTACCTGAGAATAAACCAGCGTTACATTTGTGATCAATAGAAGCTGTGTTTGATTAGAACTTGTTGACTTATTTTCTGGGCCATGTTTGTGAAATGTGAAATGATCTTACTGTCCTTTTAATGCCACATCTGAATATGTAATCATTTAACTATTTTTCCATATTTCAGATTCTAGTGAAAGGAGAGAACCCCCCGACTCCCCCGTACATGTTTGGGGATGTGCTGTCTCCTCCGCTGGGGTCACTAGAGGTCACTGTGGCCACGTCAGCTGTCAATCAACCCACCTCAGCACAAACGCCAATCCAAACTGCCCGACAGCCTGCCCTACAAACTGCCCTACAACCTGCCCTACAAACTGCCCTGCCTGCTCAGATACAGGGGCAGATCCAGGGGCAGATCCAGGCGGTCAATGCAGCGGTCACTCTGCACACCCAGAACACTGGTTAGTGAAGAACACTTTATTCACACCAGGAGCAAATGTTACAGTAAATCAAGAGGATGGCATTGATGGCTCAGTTAAAGGTCCTATGTTACACAGAACTGACTCTTCTGAGCTTTAAATCATGTTAGAATGTTGTTTTCTCCTCAAAAACAGACCTGGACTGAATTTTGTTTAATTCACACATGTTTGAGTAACTCTTTATTATTAGTCTGTCTATATCACAGGTGTCAAACATAAGGCCCGGGGGCCAGATCCGGCCCTCCAAGACCTTTAATGCGGCCCTTGGGTGATTTTCTACTAAAATATTTTAATTATATTTTCTATTAAAATATTGGTAATTTTCTGCAGTGCTGAGCATAGCAGCATCTCCAGTGCCTCTTTACGTGGCCCCTCCCATCAGAGCAGCACAAATGAAGACTTGTTTCTTTCCAAACACTTTTAAAGAACGATAGTTTTGACTGTTGACCGTGACACCCTCATCAGCAAAATGTCCAAAATGAGAAAAGTGGAGCCGAGTGCAGGATTTTCCAAGATAAATGGACTTATTCCTATTTGCAAACAAGTTCATGTTAAAACATTGTGTTGAAATTGAATTTTTCTTAAAGTTTCAGGTTGTTCATAATATTATAATATTATAATAAGAAAGAGTTCATCAATTAAAAAAGATTTCTGTAATAGATTTGCATTTCTCTGCACAAATATTTGAACTTATTGTTATTTTTGAGGTATATATGCCATGAGTTTTCTGATCCGGCCCCTTTGGGATCAAAGTAGGTTGGATACGACCCCCGAACCAAAATGAGTTTCACACCCCTGGTCTACATCTTCAAAGCTCAAAATGCTCTGTTCCACTTTGTGATGTCATGTACCAGTTGTTTATAAGTTACGACTTCTTTATACCTTTAGTAGAAATTGGCAATTCCAAAGCTGAAATTATCCAAATGATCCCAGTGAAGGTGTACGGAGTTTATTAATTGTTGAAGTGAAGTTGAATAATCACTTGAACCCAAGTAGCACTGAAGTGGTGAAGGGTCCCATTTCAGATTAGTAAATGGTGTAAAGTGGAGCCTTTAAGTGTTCCCCTGATCCTTCCTTGTCCTTTGTGTCTCTGTCTTGTCCAGTCTTGTCCAGTTCGTCGGTGTCTAAAAGCAGATGCAAGGTCCCTCTGCAGCCGCGCCCTGTGTGTGTGACCTCTGCCCCAGTGACCAGCTCCTCTCTGCAGACGCCCAGCCCTGGAGGCACCCTGCTGCTCCAGGGACTGACCCCCATGGACCAAACACACCCAGGTACTGCCTCCCTATCCACACCTGTTGTAGAATGACTGAAGTAGTCTGAGATTTGTGCAGAGAGTGGAGGGGGAGGTTTGACAGTTACCATGGTGACACAATGCACACATTAGCAAACACACTGTATTGTTGTCTGAAAACTCAAGAGGGGCTTATGTAACAGTCATCGACAGTATATATAAATGGACATAGCTAACGCCCTTGCCGCTACGTTCCAAACAGGAAGTTCTCATGTGGCTCTTCAGGCTCCTTCTGACCCTGGCTCCCATTGACTTAAACTGGAATATTGTGGCCCCTCTCTCTGTAACTACTGCAGTGAGCCTCATCATTTTGGTCTTAAAATGCTCCTATTAACCTGCTCTGCATGAGCCTATTGGGTTTTTTTTCTGTTTTGTTTATCAAGAAATCCTATTCATAAAATAGAGCCTGACTCTAAATTCACTCCTGTAACCGTGAGCATCTCAAGCTTCATTTGAGTGGAGCTGAACAATGTGGGTGACGTCACACTTGCTTAGTCCACATTTTTATACAGTCTATGGTACCAGCACACATCAGCTCACTTGTTGTAGTTCCAACTCAATCCTTTATAGTCAGATTATGTTAAAACAAATCTTGGATTAATTTGAGTAAAATCTTAAAACAGAGCAGTACCACCAGTTAGCACCACCCCTCCAGGGAATGTTTGACTTTTAATGTCTGGAAAAGGGCAGCTTGTTTAAAAAAAAATAAATACAAATCTAAATGGTTATCAAAAAGGTTTGACCTGTGGACTAAGAATAGTCCCATTCTTATCAGTTCTTACATAACTGACATGATTTTTTCTTTGATTCTAGACTAATATTAGACTTGACCTCTTGTGTTTGTCTTCAGTGGTGCTGTCTCCGTCCGTCTGTCTCTCCTCGGCTCCCGCCATCGTCAAAGTGGAGCCGCTCTCTCCCAGCATACCTCAGTGCTCCGCGGCCCCGCCCACCAGCAAACCCATCGTCCCGGCGACCGCTAATCTGCCCGGCAATGGCAGCAACGACATTGATGTGAGTCACATGATCACACACGACTTTTCTAAAATATTGTATTATATTAAATTATAATATCCAGAGATCGTAATTTTACATTTTATTCAGTGAAAATGTATGGAAAAATTTGAAAGACAAGGGTGTTGCATACCAGTGATGGGCGAATGGAGCCTCGTGAAGCATTGACACCTCAGTCGCAATATTGTCTCAAATGGTTCGACGTGTCTGAGGCCTTGGTGACCTTGTTAAGTGGAATTAGATCAAAGTGATCCCAAACCATGGATCGCTTTTTTCCACTTGTAGATGCCATCGAAAATGAAACAAATGCCAAAAGTCGCCAAAAACACCACTAACGTCACACAATCCTCCTCACTACCCAACATTTTTAAGAAATATTGGTGCATCTTTTATACTGTAACAGTTTAGCGCTTGTCAAACCACGGAAGTGCGCTGAAAACTCTGAAACACTCTGAACCAATCGCAGAGCGGAACATTCGCTGAGCCAATGAAACGCTTCGATACACTGAAGCGATTAACACGCAGAGTGAAGCAGTAGGGGGAGGGACTGACACTTCCACACTTTGGTCACGTGAGCGGCTGCTGTGAGACGAGCTCCAAGGCAGTGCTTCAGAGCAATTTGTTTCAGAAAGAACGAGACGTGCTCCGGAGCTCCGACTCATTTGCCCTTCACTATTGCATACTGATACAGCAGTGCGTAACCTCTGGGAACTGCAAAAGTTTCCGAATCTATCTTTAAATGTGTCCATGTTCTTCCTCAGATGAAGGTCCTGAAGCGGCAGCAGAGGATGATAAAGAACAGAGAGTCAGCCTGTCAGTCCAGGAGGAAGAAAAAAGAATATCTCCAAAACCTGGAGGCACAACTCCGAGAAGCTCAGCAGGAGAACGAGAGGCTGAGGAGAGAGAACCAGGAGCTGAGGGACAGGCTGGCCGGGAAAGAGGTACAGACCAGGAACAGGCCAAGACTGAACCATAGACCAGTGGTTCTCAAACTTTTTATAAGTACTATAAGTTTGCTTTCCAAGTACCACCAGGTCTATAACAGGACTATTGTCAGTCTGGTTTGGGGTCAAACTCAAAGGGGGATTTTCTCTTTATTTTCAGGGCAGTGACTCGATGAGTAACAAACGTGCCGTCTGTGTCATGGCTCTGCTGCTGTTCATGACCTTCAGCTTCGGACCTGTCAGGTACAACACACCGACAGACAGGTGCAGACAGGTGCACACACCGACAGACAGGTGCAGACAGGTGCAACACACCGACAGACAGGTGCAACACACCGACAGACAGGTGCAACACACCGACAGACAGGTGCAGACAGGTGCAACACACCGACAGACAGGTGCAACACACCGACAGACAGGTGCAACACACCGACAGACAGGTGCAACACACCGACAGACAGGTGCAACACACCGACAGACAGGTGCAACACACCGACAGACAGGTGCAACACACCGACAGACAGGTGCAACACACCGACAGACAGGTGCAACACACCGACAGACAGGTGCAGACAGGTGCAACACACCGACAGACAGGTGCAGACAGGTACAACACACCGACAGACAGGTGCAGACAGGTACAACACGGCGCATACTTTAATAGAGTTTATTTGTCTGGTAAAATATCAGCGTAGCCATGGGGTATTAAAAGTCTTCAAAAGGTCTTAAATTTCATGTTCCTAAGTTAATGCCTTAAAAGTCTTACATTATGTTGTCCAAGTCTTATTGTTTTTGCAAAGGTCTTAAATTTCATTAGCCTATTTTTTTGTATACTCATCCGAGCTGCGGTGCGATGTTAAATGGAGGGAGAAAAAAAAACAACAACAACGTGAAACCACATAATGTGAATAAACGTTTAATGTGGAGCATGCGCAAACAATGCTTTGGTTTCAGCCGCCCACAGCAATGAGTAAACAATCAGTAGAGTGGAGGAAGACGTTGGATGGATCATGGGGAAGTGCAGGTTTAATCCACTGTGACTCTTAGATTCTAGATTTAGTAGTTGGTTGGTCATTATTAGAAGTAGATCTTGTGTTTTTCGCCCGCATAATGGGTGCGATGTTGATCTTAGTTTTCATTTAAGTGGTCTTAAAAAGGTCTTAAAAAGTCTTACATTTGGGGTAGTCAAACCTAGGGAAACCCTGATTCTCTAGTTTGCATAAGTGTTGTCAAAAGTATTGAAAATCAGATACTAATCTATTCTAAAACTAGTATCAAAACTAGATAGTCATTTTTCACAGGTATTGATATTACAAAAAAGTCCCATTGACAGGACAGAGCAGAAACTTTCCTGAATGTCTTTAGAATTAGACTTGTTCTGATACAGCTCAACATCAGACACATAGACTAGTAGACACACATGGACCAGTGAGGATTACACACATACAAGACACATGGGAAGAGAAAAGAAAGTTCTACCATTTAATGTAGAAAAATCACATTCTATTGTCTAAAGAAAGAGTTTTGTTTTTTTTTGTTTTTTTTGTTATTGTGGTACTGAAATCAGAATTGAGTATCAAGTCTATGCTTTAGTATTAAAATCTGCTCGTTCATAAAGGATATCACACTTTTATGTCTTAACATCTTCAAGATTATTTAGGTCTAATAAAAATAAAAAATAACATGAAAAATGATAAAAACATATGTTTTGACTACAGTAAAACACGCGCACTGGCACTTATAAACTTTTTATAAGCTTGTATTTTGTATATTTTCTCCAGTATCACAGACAGGAAGTGGGCGGACCTCGGTGACAGTGCAGTTTCTTACACGGGAAGAAAACTGCTGGAATTTGAACAACAGAATCAAAAACAGAACCAAAAACCGACAAATGTTCCACCAAAACGAACCGTGGAGCGATCACAGGCGGAGGAGAAGGAGCGATGGAGGACAGAGGAGGACAAGTTTAGCACTGAAACATACCACTTCAGGTAAAAAAAAAAAACAGCCCTGTGTCAGATGCCCTCCCATCCTCCTGTATCCCTGTATCAGATGGCCTTTCTATCAGGTGCTCCTTCACTGTCCTGTGTATGCCCTCCCATCCTCTTTTATTTGCATATTTGATACAGTGATTAAAAAACAAAAGATGGAAATCAGCCGTGAAGGTGCCGGTTGAATTTTGAAGTGACTTTATCCCTTAACAGTCCCATTAAACAATCATTCAATTATTCACGATTCACACCATGACTGAACCAAACTAAAGTAACTTTACATTTAGCTCTACTTTTTAGAGTACAGATTGCATTAAAATACTTAATTTTGTTTCCAAAATTATCTTGATTATTATAATTTACACCAAAACTAGTACTGAATACTGGTTAAATGTTACAGTGTAGTTCACAGGGTAGATACTGTCACATTGATCTAAATGTGTTTGTTTTGTTGTTTTTTTTCTTGGTGTTCAGGAATCTGAGTGATGCGTTCACGGACGTGAAAGATCTGGTTCTTCAGGACATCGACAGGTTTTTCTCGTCTTCAGACTGTCGGCAGTTTAATCGCTCCGAGTCGCTCAGGTCTGAACAGCTACACAACATCTCCTACATATAACTTCTGTCTGTCTCCACATTTATTAAGCACATCTTACACGGAAGAGAAAACTAATGCTGAAGTCGCTGCAAAATGCATTTTTCATTCAGCTGTACTTCTACTATTGATATTGATATTGATTGTTTTGCTCAATGACACAACAACAGTAGGAAATGGGTGAAGCTATGATTAAACTGTCAGTCTTCTTGTTTTAAGGCAGGCACTTTACCATCTTAGCACTCTTAAATCTGTAAATGTTGTCTTCTTGTACCTCTAATCTAAGGTACGGTGAGGTTTACTTTACTGATCAGATCTGTGTTTTTCAGGCTGGCGGACGAGCTGAGGGGCTGGGTTCACAGGCACCAGATCGACAGGAAAAAGTCTGGAGACAAACCAAAGGCCGTGAAGAAGGCAAAGATCGCTCAGGTCTGCTATTTTTGTATACTTTTTTTTTTTTTTTTTCTTTAGATTACACATTTTAAATAAGCTTGTTGGATCAAAGGAAATTAGGACAGAAATGCACATAAATCTCAGCAGCAAATAAAATACATTTGATTGCACTGATTGCAGTTTAGGCACAATATTTAACCAGTCCAGTGAAATTCTCCAGAGAACAGAGAGTCAGGTTCTGGGGAAGAGATGGATTTGAGGATGAGGACTCATTCCAACAGCTGCTGTATGGTTTATGTGAGTGAGTGGGCTGAAATAAAGCAGAATAAAGATATACTGAATCATTGATCCAAGTGACTATTCTAAAACACATAGACTCTGTTATATGGTGAGAACTCCAATATGAAATCAAACAAAAATATATGTTAACATGTAGCAGTAATAGACAGGAAATAATAAAGTGCACATCACATTTATAATGACATAATGGTGAATAAAGCAGTAATAAATGATACATAAATGATAGTGTTTATTACATTTAGTATACAGTAACTAAAGGGATAATACAAGGCTAAATAAAAACAAATAGATTACGCAGACGTCACATTACAAAACTTAACTGGTTGTCAGAAATGCTCTATAAACTAATAAACTCAAACATGACTTACAGAAAATGAGCTCCACATTAACAAACAAAGGTTACTCTTACTTGAGATTCATGAACACACAGTAACACACAGGTAAAAGACATGTTAATAATAGTACAAGTAACGAAAACATGCAAAAATGAAATTAATGCAAGAATGTAAAAACAAAACTTAACACAAGGGGGCGCATTTGACTTCTTGGCTTTCCCCACATTTATGGAATTTATGTATTTTTATTATTTATTTATTTATTTATTATTGTTTCAGAAAGCTCAGCTGAGGAAAGCCAACATCTCCAGATACCTGCCGATCCAGTCTCACCGCTCCATCGAGAGGTAACCTGCTTCTCTGACGTCTGTCGCTGTGAACTCATTCCATTCATTTTACTAGACTAATGCAATGCAACAAACAGAATTATTACAAGAGTTTATATGACTTGGGTTCACAACACTGGGGAAAAGAAAATAAGGACTGGACATATATTTATTTAAAGTGTACCTATTTTGCACAATGGACTTTTCAGAGATTTTAACCATGTTGTAGAAGTTTCTTCTCACTGACCCTCTGAAGTTGTCTTTGGAGTGATTCATGCATGTTTGAGTAGGGTGGCCAAATGTCAGTTTTTCCCTGGACATGTCTGTTTTTTGCGTCCTGTCCTGGGCGTCCGGGGTTTTTTTTGGTTCTTTTTTTAAATGATGGAAATGTCCGGGTTTTTATTACCATTCATTGGGGCCATTAAACTGAGCGTCTCTTGTAGCTCTGTAACTTAGAAGGAGCGAGCAGAGACAAACAGTCGGTCAGTCTGCAACATGCCGAAGTGCAAATGTGCATTTCATGATGACTTGGACAAGAAATTCGACAGTTTTCGGCCCGGTCGGGACAAGTGGGAGGCCGTGTGCACAGGTTGCGAGGTGAGAGTAGCTCAATGTTGAGGCCCCACCCCTGACCCCCGGTAAGGTGTCCGGGTTTTCACAAATGGAAATATGGTCACCCTATGTTTGAGCAATTTTTTATCGCTTACTTTCCAGACACCATTTTACCAGTCCCTGTTTTGACCGTCACCGGTGCACTCCCACTGTGACAGATGCATTTCATTCTCTACATTTATTTCTTAATCGGTGATACACATAGGGTTCAGCAGTGTCACATAGTCATTTTGGTACAAATGAAGTAAAATGATCTGTTCTAGTGTGATGTAGATATCCACAGGAGGGGCCACAGCATGCGTCACTTTGTTGTCATGACGTTTACACCGACGTCAGCTCCCATTCAATTCTAATGCAGAAGACATGTTTCTATTATTAATTCCTTTTAGATGAATATTGTGATTTCAAATGTCCAAATTCTAACATAATGATCCACAGGTAGATTATAGATTATATAATAGATTATAGGTCTAGAGCACACAGAAGTACAGTATGTGTTCTTAATGTTCTGTATTGTGTCTGTCTCCACAGTCAGCTGCAGGTCCTGTCTGGTCCAGAGGTGACGTACAGTGACTTCCTGGACGCCATCGACCGCAGAGAGGACACGTTCTATGTGGTTTCTTTCAGACGAGTACGACACACAAACTGTTCTTTTATTAATACTTTGCACTGACATTACGCTGGGGGTGTACTGCCTGTATGTCTGTGGCGTAATGTTCAGCAGTTACCATTGAAACACATTCCACACTTAAGTAAACGGTATCAAAAATGTTTTAAGATGGTCAGACATCTCAAGAAAAAAAGCAAAAATGATTTAAAGAGCACATATTCAGAAGCCTGTGATCAGTCTGAGCCTCCATGGTCCTGTTTAGGAGCTTGATTTTCAACACAAAAGTGAGTGTTGGCTAATGCTGGCTTGTACAACTGAGATTACAGTGTCACAAAGGCTCAAATAGAGCAGTGTTTACAGTTGGCATCACACCCCCGGGGAATTTTCATGACCTCAGCTGCAAAGTTCAAAATCTTCTGTCAGTATAAATAAACTAAGCCAAATTATTTTTTTCACTATCATTTGGCACCACACAGAAAGTGGAGTCATTATTCGACCCAAAGACGTCATTGTTGTCAGTTGAAAGGACTTTATGTCATAAGATTAATGACTAATCCTAGTATACAGTAGACGTGAACAGAACAGTGTTTCCACTCATTGTGAGGGCTTCTCATGTAATAATGAGCAGGATCCAGCCCTGAGCTCACTGGGGACTCGAGTGGTGTTGCCAGGGCAGTCAGAATATCATATCATATTAGTCAGATCACTTTTGATGGACTTCAATGCAATGTGCCATAGGGACCAAAAAAGTGAAATAATAAAAAAACTACAGTGGATATCCCAGCCTTGAACAACATGTATTTGAAATCTTGGTTCTATCATGTATCATCATGAAATCTTGGTTCTATCATGTATCATCATGTCATCTATTATGGTCTGTATTATGGTCTGTATTATGGTCTTATTCACATTTTCAGGGACTGAAAAGCTCATTTAAACCAACTTCATAATCCTAGGATGGAAGTGAGCAGTACAATGTTTCCTTTCATTGTTGGGGTTTCTCATGTGAAGTTTGTGAAGCCAAACACATAATTTCAACATCTGTGGATCATACTTTTGGAGATTATGACATCATCAGATTATGGAACATGAACTCATCCTATTATAAGACATCACAGCTAATCAGAGCCAAGTGTACAAAGTTGACCTGTAGAGGAATACTCTTCTTACTTTAGTTGATGAGTAAATGTGATGTCATTATTCTCTCTTTTCTCCAGGACCACTTGTTGCTGCCGGCGATCAGCCACAACAAAACCAGTCGGCCCAAAATGTCCCTGGTGATGCCCGCCATGTCTGTGAACGGTCAGTACTGTGACTCTACTGACACCTGCTGGGCACATGGTGTATGCCACCTCCTCTCTAATGGAAGCTCTCTCTTTCATAGTAAAACGAGATGGTTCATCTCAAGGAGTCATTTCTCTTAAAGAGGACATATTACACTATTTTCTGATCCATGTTATAACGTTCCTCATCATAAACAGACCTGGAGTTGTGTTTTGTTTCATTCACACATGGTTGACACATAAACCCAGCAGATTTAGGAATTCTTTTCTTAAACTGAAAACCCTTGTGATGTCATGCTCAGGAAGTATTTCACTGTGTTTTTAAACTCCACACACCTTCACTAGAATCATTTGGATAATTTGAGTCCTGGAATGGCCAGTCTCTACTGAACTAAAGATAAAATCAGTTGTTAACTTGAAAACTACTGCATCATGACATCAGAAGGTGGAACAGAGCGTTTTGAGTTTTGGAGATGTAGGCAGTCTAATTATAAAGGATTACTCAAACATGTGTGAATGAAACAAACAAAACAAAAACAAAAAACAACTCCAGATGTGTTTTTAAAGAGGTAAAAACATTAACATTATAACATGGCTTAAAACTCACAATAGTCTGTTTTTCACAATAGAGAATCTTTAATAAACAAATGTAACTAATTAGATTTAAATGTACATGTAATTTATTCAAATAAACCATTTTAGAAATTAATAATTCAAGAATATTACTCTTTCTAGTCGACTAAATTAGTGGGCATCCGATTAAATTTTCTTAATCGATCGTCAGGAGAATTAACGATCAATTTTCGATTAATCATTAACGTTTTTATTTTCAAATGATCATCATTATTATTACTATCTGCACTACTAATCTGCATAAATAAACTCAACTTCACGACATATAAACATAACAACTCTAGAACCACATTAGTCCGTTTGACATTAGAATGTGTTTAATGCAGCTTTTCTCACGGCTCACAGAAGCAAAACTTAAAACCACATGACTCATTTGCATAAACTAAGCAAGAAACAAAACAGCTCTTGTGCGCTGATGCAGTTCAACTTCTGTCGGACTAAAAGACACAACTCCGTGGAATATAGGACCCGCTTCACACAGCAACCTATATTCAGTTTGTTGATTAAAAATTAACTTAGTCGACGAAATTCTTAATGATCAATTATGGATTAATGGACTAATCATGCCCATCCCTAGACTAAATTATAATCATAATTTGCAGAGCTACATAAAGTAATGATCTTTAATTTAGCTCATTATAAACCCAGCTCTTTACTGTGTTCTATTCTACAGTTGTTTTAGATCCATTTTGTGTTTTGTTGTTTTGTGGACATATTGTGCTTGTGCGTGCTCCATCATTATAATCTATGACACGTGCAGTTCAGTGTTATAATGTGCACATTTTAAATTGCAGTATTCATCTAAAACTACTTGTTGACATCTGAATTGCGATGCCCAGTGGGAGGTGACGTCACTGTAAACGTTACAACAGACCATCTGGGACCCTCTGCATAGCTGCACATCACACTAGAGCAGAGCATTTAAAAAAAATATGCACCAATGCCTGCAAATCCTACGTGTACAAGAAAATAAAATATAGAAAGAAGTGCACACGTTACAGTGGCCGTGTACTAGGGGTGTAACAATAACCAAAATATCGTGATATCGTATTGTCAAAAGTCTCACAATAACATCGCGGACCATCACAATATATTGAATCAAGTTTCTTTGCTTAAATTCATTGTTACAGTGCAGCAATAGGTAAAAAAAAAAACAGAGGGAACTACATCGACCATGATCCTTTGCTCCATTTTAGTACAAACTACATGACACTACATGACTACATAACAGTTCTAAGCACTTTTAAATCTTAGTTCTTTGAATTAAGTCTTGTCAAGGAAAAAGTAACATATTCACATTTTTTTAAGCCTCCACAAAATATCACAATAAATACTATACCATGAGACATATATTGTGAAAATATGGTACGGTGAGTTATGGATGTCTTTATATTCCTCCCATGTACTGATGACAGTGAACACAGAGGTTGATATGCAAAATGGTGTATTTTAAAATAAGCAATTAAAAATGACTCAAACAAACATGAATCACTCCAAAGACAACTTCAGAGGGTCACTAAGAAGAAACTACTACAATATGGTATCTCTAAAAAGTCCATTGTGCAGAATAGGTCCTTATGTTTATGCACAGAGAGCATGTGCAACACGTCACAGGGCTGAAATGGCAAAGGAGAAATTCAGTTTGTCAACTGGACAAATGTTTATCCAAGCTGCTTCTTCAGTTGTGGTCAGATGCTGGTGGACATTTCCTTATATCTGTCTGCAGGGAGGAGCTAACTACACTGAAACTACTCTGAAACTAACACCCTACTTATCTCCAGTTTCTCATATTAAAATAATCATTCAGGCTCATAATGGAACACGTGAAAACATTCATTATGAGTCTAAATGATTCTGCTAATATGCCCCACACTCAGTAGAGATGAATAGGCCGAGTTAACAAACCGAAACTGTAAACAAGTAGATGAGCTCCTCCCTGCAGGCAGATATAACAGGGCAGCCGCGTGGTCTTAAAAGCCTTAAAAAGGTCTTAAATTTCATGCTCCTAAATTAAGGCCTTAAAAAGTCTTAAATTATGTTGTCAAAGTCTTATTTTTTTCACAAAGGTCTTAAATTTCATTAGCCTATTTTTCTGTAAACTCAACCGGTCTGCAGTGTGATGTTAAACAGAGGGAGGAAAAAAAACAACATGAAATCTCATGAATGAACGTCTAATTTGGAATATGCACAAACAATACTTAGGCTGCGTTCAGACGACCTCACAAAAACATCAGATTTCACAAAAAAATTTGAATTGAGCGTTAAGCCCTGCAGTCTGAACGTAGCCTTAGTTTGTCTTGTTTGAATGTTATAAATTATTTTTTGGCCACCATTTTACAAGCAATGCATACTACTATAAATGAGTTCTGAATGAGATTTTATAATAAATTGTTTTTTTTGTTGTTATTTAAAGCAATGAGTAATGGTCGTTATTAAAATGGGTGTGATGTTGGTCTTAGTTTTCTTTTAAATGGTCTTAAAAACGTCTTAAAAAGTCTTGAATTTGGGGTAGTCAAACCCGGGGAAACCCTGTATAAGGAAGTGTCCACCAGCGTCTGTTGATAAATTGATTTTCTCTCTTACCATGGATTCTACCTGGACAACTGAGGGCTGAAATGTTCCGTAGTGCTTGTTTATGTCCTCAGTCATGATTACATGTTGTGTGTGTGCACAGAGAGCCTGTACAACGCGTCACAGGGCTGAAATGTTCCGTAGTGCTTGTTTATGTCCTCAGTCATGATTACATGTTGTGTGTGTGCACAGAGAGCCTGTACAACGCGTCACAGGGCTATGAGATGATGATGCAGGTGGACTGCGAGGTCATGGACACGCGCATCGTCCCCATAAAGTCGTCCGCCGTGCCACCCTCCCTCCGAGAGCCGCCGCCTCCCCGCTCCCCCCACGGCAACGCGCAGCATCAGCCCCATCACCACGGCAACCACACCTCGCACCACCACCAGCAACACCCGCAGCCCGCCGCCGCAGCCTCCTCCACCAATCACAGGGCTCCGCTGCAGCGACGACGCCCGGTCGAGTTCCTCATTGGCCAGTCAGAGGTGTGAGGAATAAGAGGGGCGGGATTAAGGTTTGGCAATAACAGGACTTTAAAAAAAAAACTCCATAGGATTCTTTGTGTCAGATGCCCTCCCGTCCTCCCGTATCCCCATGTGTCAGATGCCCTCCCGTCCTCCCGTATCCCTGTGTATCAGATGCCCTCCCGTCCTCCCGTATCCCTGTAGTGTCAGACCGAGATGAGGGCAGGTCACATGTCTCTAGTTACTCTGCAGATGTTGTGTGTCACTGACAGAAATGATCAGGGAAAAAATATATATATTTGTGGATTTGACTTTTGAGAATTTTCTTGAGACAGGATGCCGTCTCCGCTCTGTCTGAGAGGGACACACTGTTCTACTGTCTAAATGTGTATAATACAAAAGACATGTTCGATTGACCATTTACTGACCTCTTGTGGCAGAAGTTCCAAATCACAGCTGTACACTTCAAACGACTGAATCATGTTTCCCGGACTTGAGGAGAACACAACTCTTCCTTTGTCCTCAGTGCTTGCCTTTTTTGTAAATACAGTTGTAATGTTTCTAATATATTTGTTTGATTGACACAGAAGAAGCCACTGGCACTTAAAAATAATATGATTAATTTAGAGACTTGTCCTGAAATGTAAATATTTTTTTTAAGTTAAAAATGAACTTGGGGACTCAGTTTTGACCAATCAGAGCAGAGCTGTGAAACCTCTGCTCCATCTGACCCTCTGATCCTCTCTTCTTCTGACCCTCTTCTTCTCCTCTGATCCTCTCCTGCTCCTCTGATCCTCTCCTGCTCCTCTGACCCTCGTTTTTGCCTCCTCTTCATCCTCTGACCCTCTTGTCTGCCCCCTCTTCATCCTCTGACCCTCTTCTCTGCTCCTCTGACCCCCTTTTCTACCCCCTCTTCATCCTCTGATCATCTTAACTGCTCCTCTGACCGTCTCTCCTGCTCCTCTAACCCACTTCGCTGCCTCCTCTTCATCCTCTGACCCTCTCCTCTACTCTTCTGACCCTCTCCTCTGCTCCATCTGACCCTCTGCTCCTCTGACCCTCGCTTCTGCTCCTCTGACCCTCTTCTCTCCCCCCTCTTCATCCTCTGACCCTCGCTTCTACTCCTCTGACCCTCTTCTTTGCTCCTCTGACCCTCTCTCCTGCTCCTCTGACCGTCCTCTCTACCTCCTCTTCATCCTCTGACCCTCTCCTCTACTCCTACCACTATCTTCCCTGACCCTCTGCTCCATCTGACCCTCTTCTTTGCTCCTCTGACCCTCGTTTTTACCTCCTCTTCATCCTCTGATCCTCCTTTGTTCCTCTGCATCACTTTTCCCATTGTTGTTGTTTTTTTTTTTTAGAACATAATTATTTAACATCTGTAAATATCCACATGTACATAAAATAATTGTGACTTTTTATTTCTTCGGGCAGAAATGCAAAAGAATAATGTAAAATATATAATAATAATATCAAATCGGAGGCACTGTACAGAAATGCTTTGTGTTTTCCCGTTTGTGTTTTAAGTTACTGCCTTGTTAAAAATGGTCACTAAGTCCATTCTTCCTGCTTTGATTTTGAAGGCTCTTGTCTGGACACTGTAGACTCTTATTTTGAAGGCCATTCTGTTGTGATGTTCTTAAAGGGCCAGTCCACTCGGCTTACGCGACCATCCCTATGCACAAGAAGATACAATTCCAATGTCCTGCATTAACTCCTCAGACAATAGATTATTTTTATGTAAAACCACAACGTTATAGATTCCCCCTGGTTTAAACGGGGCTGGAGACGGGTCAGAATCCTGCAGACTTGTTGACCTAGTTTATGTTTAATATGTCTGTAGTCCTGGTTAGGCATGGTACAATATTCAAATTTTGTATTGTGATTATCGTGGTTAAAATAATTGCCAGTTTAAGTTTAAAAATGTTATGCATATGATTAATTATACTTTAATATTATGAATTATTATGAAAGTAAAATTTTTTAAACGCTGTTATAGAATTGTGCTTTGTTATGAGAGAAAACAACAATAATCTAGAAGAAAACATCAAGCATAAGCAGCTTTGGTAACACTTTATAATAACTACACCTTTCTGAGCATTAATAATGCATGAACAAACAGTGTTACAGATTACAGATTACATACCCCAAAATGTACTTTGTAATGTAATCCAATAAATTAAAGTGAGTAACGTAATGAATACTTTGGATTACATGATTTGCTGTAGAGAAGCAAAGACTCGTAAATCTTCACATAAGATGTTTTGTCTGTTAAAAGAAAATAAAAAAGTCCAGACTTTACTGAACCGTATTAAAAATATTACTGATAGAAGAGGAGGAGACACGTCCACACAGCAGGATTTAGTCCTGTTAAATCCTGTTTAAGACTTGGTTTAGACCTGGATTTAGTCCTAGTTTAGTCCTGGTTTAGTCTTGGTTTAGACCTGGTTTAGTCCTGGTTTAGTCCTGGTTTTAGACCTGGTTTAGACCTGGTTTAGTCCTGGTTTAGTCCTGGTTTAGTCCTGGTTTAGTCCTGGTTTTAGACCTGGTTTAGTCCTGGTTTAGTCCTGGTTTTAGACCTGGTTTTAGTCCTGGTTTTAGTCCTGCTTTAGTCCTGGTTTAGACCAGGTTTAGAACTGGTTTAGAACTGGTTTGGACTTGGGTTTAGATCTGGTTTAGAGTCCGGCAAAAACAAAAAAAAAACAAAAACAGAATAGCCCAAAATGTGAAAACAGGAAAATACCACTGTGTAATCCATTTATTTCAACCAAGTAACTGTAATCCAATTACCACTCACTGAAACTGTAACTGTAACTGAATACAGTTACTCATAATTTGTACTCTGATTACGTAACTCCAGTACATGTAATCTGTTACTCCCCAACACTGTGAACAAAGACTTAATTAATAATGAATAAAGATTTAATTAATAATGATTCATGCTTAGTAAATGCTTAATAAATCATAATTCATCTTCACTTTAGAAAAGCTCACAGAAAGACTTAACTAAGAGATAACAGCTGCCTGAATGATCATTGCATTGTATTATTAGTAAATCATTCTCTCATAGTTTACTAATGATTAATAATTGCACAAATGGTTAGTTCATGAATAATTAATTATGAAATAATTATGAGTAACTATTTACAGCACAGGCAAATTAAGTGCAAGTGCTAATTCAGGTGGTAATTAAGTAGTTACTAAGCGTGACTCATTATTAATTAAGTCTTTGTTCATGCTTTATTAAGGCTAAATAAAGTGTAGTTATTATAAAGTGTTACCATATCTTTTTTCAGCACATTCTGGTGATAAAATGGCGATTATTTTTTTTATTATATCAAATGCCCCACAAACGACTGTTGCCTACCCTTTTTATCACGATAAACAATATTATTGTTTATTGGCCCATCTTTAGTCCTGGATTACTTTATAACCAGGTACCACGCATAGACTGTATATATAAATGGACTCCATTCGGCTCCATCGACTCTGGCTCCAATTCACTTTCTACTGAAAAACCATTGCCCCTTTCTTTTAACTGCTGCTGTCAGGCCCCTCATTTTGGTTTTAAAATGTTCATATTATCTCACTTAACCCATTTTTAGTTCACTGTTTTGTCTGTTAATCCAGAAAGGATTACAAATATAAACTCGGCTCCAAATTCTTTCATGAAACTGTAAACCACTAGTTCACTTCTTCAGTCTATGGTACTATCTGAACTAGACCAAGACTAAATCAGGACTAAAGTCTAAGTCTAAAACTGGACTTGAACTGAGGGGTGAAAACCAGGTCTAACCCAAATGTGGACTCAATTAAAATCACACGTAAACAAATCCCAAATACACGGACAGAAAATATTGAAAACCACTGATTTCTGACATCATGACAAACCTTTGATTTTTGTACATTTGTTCCATTTGCACTTCTCTTTTTCCACTTTTATAAACTTTGTGTAAATAAAAAAGAAATTTGTCAAAATAATGTTTCTTTTTTTTTTTTTTTTTTCACAGGGAACAGAATTTAAAAGGCTATGCAGATGATTCATGAGGCGTTATGCAAATCTGACTTTTTTTCCATGCCTAAAGAGTTTTGAGATGCTTGTTTGACTAATCTAGAGATCTTGAACCTTCAAGATCTAGAGCCCTCCATGCAAGTTGTGACTTTGATTTAAGTCACTATTTTTAGGACTTGAGACTTGACTTGATAAAATGGACTAAGACTTGGGACTCGACTTGGACTTGAAGGTCAGTGACTTGGGACTTGACTCAGACTTGAGGCCTGTGACTTGAAGACTTGAGAAGCACTTTTAAATCTGAATTCTTTCTATTCTGACCGTAATAACTGTCTTAACTTCTCTTCACTCTTGTCAAGACATTTAAAAAGTAAAAATTTGCATTTATATAACTCTTCTACACTCATATATAAATATACTATGACTTTATTAGTACAGTTTTTCTTAAGTCATACAAATTGAAAAAAATCTAAGCTATATTTGGTACTTTGGTTTAAAGACTTGAATTTGAGACTTGAAGCTCAAAGCAGAAGACTTGGACTTGACTTGGACTTGTCTGTATTTGACTCGTACTTGAGGTCAAACACTTGAAACTTACTTGATACTTGAAAACAACAATTTGGTCCCACCTCTCTGAGTCTGTACAAGGCTCCGCCCACAATCCTACATCACCCAGGCTCCTACACGACAATTCTCAATAAACAAAAACATGATTAAAAACTGTGCACAGCAACTTGATAAACCTGATGTGATGTGTGGTACTTTCATTAGTGGGACGCACACTGTTTGTCTTGTGATAGTGCTCTGAAGGGGGAGTCACTTACAGTTTTTCTCCATTGGTTTGGCTCATTTGTTGAATCAGAAATGACATTCTCTAAACAACATGGACAAATCTCCAAACCACCGTGCAGTTGTTCACAACAGAATGACGACATCTCATTGATTTCATCAAAATGTAAGTGTCTCAGTGTATCTTTGCACATGGTTCTGTACACGTCTCCTCCAGTTGACAGAATGAGCCACATTTAGCACATTATTAATTAATATACATAATAATATACATATTAATTGAAGGGAGAGACTCAACAAAAGATCCCAACAAGTGATTTGTCTTTGTCTTATTTTTCGGCTTTTTATTAATTTTATGCACTACTCATGTGGCTGATACCATCGTTTGTTGTTGTGCAAAAGTTCGCTTACTCAAGGTTTTTAGGCCTGGAAAGCTCACAACAGGATGACTATGACCAGCTCACTCGGTAGCTGCTATTTTACTTAAAAGCTCATACAAAAACAATTAGGACAAAGCACTATGCAAGTGCCTTTTGGAGAAATGACCCTGTGACCAGGTAAGCTATAAAGCGCTGCCTAGTTCAAAATTTGAGATCTTGACCTCCTAGCAGAATTATGCCGGAGGAGCCAATGCCAACCAAATCAGGATCACACTTTACCGCAGATTTTTCCAGTATTTATATCCTTCAGGTCTTTCTAAGGTCACAGGACTCCACCCAGGTACATGCAGAGCGATTAAGACGTCACATATAGCATACATTTTCTAAGAACAGACAACGCTTTGGAAACTGTAAACATTGCTCCACAGGCAAGCCGCCTCTTCGAACCCAGGTGCGAGGATCAACTTCAAAAGAGCAGGAAACTCGCACCTGGTTTGTTTGCATGTTTCCTGCACACAAGCATATCATAATGTTACAAAAAAAAATAATGTCAAACAACCCAATCTAAAAGTTTTAAATTCGATAAATCAAGTAAATCAATTTAAAAGAAACAAGTCAGGTTAAATCAAAATAAAACAAGTAACTTATGTTAATATAGATCACAAAAATGCCTCTATCATCTAAAACAATCATTTTAAATCACTAATGCTCTAAAAAGTATTCATTTAATGAGATAAAGCATTCTTAAAATCTTCATCCAAATGTCAGGAGCCCCTCAATGGAATTACGCCAAAACCTTCATCTCCTTTAACCGACCCGGGTGAGCCCTCCTGAGGCCGAGGGGGGGTTCACGACAAGAGTGTATGAACATGGGGCTCCAGACCAGAGGCCCCTGCTCCGTGGAATAGATGCTGTGTGTGAGGACATCACAGGGGGGAATGATTTTGACATTTGTGCATCGTTTCTTCTCTTCCTTTGTGACGACTGCAACCAGTGAAAGTGTTATTGTAGAATCTTTATTTGCTTTACTTACAATACTATGGACTAGATGTAATTTTTCTTTTTTGTTTGTGTTTATATTTGGTACATGTACAGAATACTGTATACATTTTCTTTTTATGTACTCTGATGTGTGGAAGTGACTTTATGTGTGGGAATAAAATGGTGAGAGTTTGATTGGCAGTGTGAGAGCAGTGTGAGTGATGTCACACTTTGGAGGCTCTTACTGTGATTATATTTTTTTTTTTTTTTTTCAGTTTTATCCATAATTGTATTATGTTAGTTTGACCTCTGCTGTAGTGACAAAACATTTAAGCATTTTGAGCTGCAGTGACACGAGGCCAAAGGGACGATGCGTTTTGGAGACAATGACTATATATTTTTATGAGAAAGGAGTTTAGTTTCGACACACAGTAAAGTGTTTTGGGACAGATCTGAGCTTTTGCAGGTGGTCCATGGGGTTGTGCTGAACCATCCAGGTTATTTTGACAAAAGTACAAAGTGAATGCAAAAGAGCCAAAGCAACTGAGAAGGATCTTTGCAGTTTTGATGCTCCTGACTGTTTATGTGGGAAAGGAATCTCGTTTTGAAGCTTGTGTGAACAGTTTCGGGAGAGATCTGAGCTTTTGCTGGTGAACTGTAATGTGCAGAACTATCAGACTGTCTGGCCAAATGATCTTACAGTTTTAAGAACGTCATTTCTGTTTCAAGAAATGAGCCAAACCAATGGAGAAAAACTGTAATTCAGAGAGCAAAGGGAGGGGAGAGTCAGAATCTAACATTTTTAACACAATAAAAGGTAACATGCTGATCTAAATGTGTTTTGTGTTACAGTTAATACCCTCTCTTTCATTTCCAGACCATGCAGATGCCAACTGTTATTGTGCTCTTGGGCAAAACGCTTCATCGCCTTCATCACTTTATGCTTGTGACGGAAGGGCATCAGGTGTAATATCCTGCCAAATCCTTCAGCGTGTAAAAGACCAAAGCACTTCAGATGAGACAAACTTTATTGCTACTGTGATGAAACGACTCCAGGTCCTGCAAAAGCGTTCAATATCTGCACTGTTCACTCCAATGACTTTAGCAGAGGTCACTTCTCCTCCTCCTCCTCTTCCTCCTCTCCTCCTCCTCTCCCTCTCTCCCTTTCCTCTCCCTTTGAGGAAAGCTCACATCTTCTCCTCTCCTCCTCTCTCGCCTCTCACCTTCTCTCTTTGTCTCTCCTCCTTTTGTCTCTTTCCTCCTCTACCAGTCCGTGTGTCATTCTTTCATTCATTTTTCAAAATAAAATAAAAAAATAAGAACATGAAAAAAACAACCATTTTCTTCATTATTTGTCTCCAAAACCAAAATGAAAAAAACAGGTAATGATTTGTTTTTTCAATTTCCGATTTTGGGTTTAAATGAAGAATGGTTTCCGTGCCGTGACCAGACCAGGACCAGACCAGGACTTAGACCAGGACTGAGATTGGGACCTGGTTTAGTCCTGGCTCAGTTCTGATTTAGACCTGGATTAGTCCCGGTCTGAATCCTGGTCTGGTCCCAGTCTGGTCCTGGTCTCAGTCCTGATCATCCGACAGTCTACATGGGCGCACCTCCGAGTCTGTCCCGACACTCGGTCCTGGTTCAGTCCAGTATCACAGTTTGAGTCACGAAAACAGGAAATGTTATCTGTTTTTTCCATTTTTCATTTAAACACAAAACTGAAAAAATTTATCGTTTCGATTTTGGAGACAAACAATGAAGAAAATCCATCCATCCGGGGGTCGGGTCACGGGGGCAGCAGTCTAAGCAGGGACTCCCAGACTTCCCTCACCTCAGACACTTCCTCCTTCAGGGGGACCCCGAGGTGTTCCCAGGCCAGCCCAGAGACATAGTCCCTCCAGTGTGTCCTGGGTCTTCCCCGGGGCCTCCTCCCGGTGGGACATGCCCGGAACACCTCCTGAAGGAGATCCAGGAGGCATCCGGAACAGATACCCGAGCCACCTCAGCTGCTCCTCTTGATGTGGAGGAGCAGCGGCTCTACTCCGAGCTCCTCCCGTGTGACTGAGCTCCTCACCCTATCTCTAAGGGAGCGCCCAGCCACCCTGCGGAGGAAACTCATTTCGGCTGCTTGTATCCGCGATCTCGTCCTTTCGGTCACTACCCAGAGCTCATGACCATAGGTGAGAGTAGGAACGAAGACTGACCGGTAAATCGAGAGCTTCGCCTTTCGACTCAGCTCCTCTTCACCACAACGGCCGATACAGCGACCGCATCACTGCCGAAGCTGCACCGATCCACCTGTCAATCTCACGTTCCGTCCTCCCCTCACTCGTGAACAAGACCCCGAGATACTTGAACTCCTCCACTTGAGGCAAAGACTCCCCACCCACCCGGAGAGGGCAAGCCACCTTTTTCCGGTCGAGAACCATGGCCTCGGATTTGGAGGAGCTGATCTTCATCCCAGCCGCTTCACACTCGGCTGCAAACCGCCCCAGTGCACATTGCAGGTCCTGGTTCGATGAAGCCAACAGAACAACATCGTCCGCAAACAGCAGAGATGAGATCCTGTGGTCCCCAAACCGGACCCCCTCCGACCCCTGACTGCGCCAAGAAATTCTGTCCATAAATATAATGAACAGGTCTGACTTACTGCCGGCAATGAACGCAGCCCCTGCTCCGGTCATACAGGGACCGGACAACCTTTAGCAAAGGGCCCCGGACCCCATACTCCCAAAGCACCCCCCACAGGACACCACGAGGGACACGGTCGAATGCCTTCTCCAAGTCCACAAAGCACATGTGGACTGGTTGGGCAA